CATGTAATTTCTGGAGGTAGCCAGCATACCCTTAATGCTGAAGAATACAACTTTAACTTTTATCAAAAAAAAAAAAAAAACTATTTAAAGAAGGAGCATGCTGTGTTAACCGAATGGAAAAGAGGAACATATGTGTGGGAAAAGATGATACAGAGATAAGGTGGCAACAGAAACAAGGACAATCTCATTTTTGGCTAGATAATTGGACTGGACCAGGAGCATTGTATCATGCTACTGGACACTGGTACAAATTTTTATTGTGATAGAACAGTAGTACGAGTGCATGAGATATTGAATTCAGGCAGATGGAACAAATCAAGGTTAAGGGGTCTACTGCCTAATGAAATAGTGGAGCATATTCTAAGCAACACCCCTCCTCCTACTGAAAATGGACCGATTGATAAACCTTTCTGGAAGCTAGAGGCAAATGACAAATTCACAGTAAAATCTGCATTTCAATTAGTAAGACAGAGAAAAGAGTCAAACATGCTATATAAGAAAATATGGATAAAGGGCCTACCAGTTAAAATCTCGTCCCTTCTGTGGAGATTTTGGAAGTATAAACTTCCTTTAGATAATGTGGTAAGGAGATGGGGTTTTCAATTTCCGTCCAAATGTTATTGTTGCCAGTCTCCTAGGGTAGAAAACTTTGCGCATGTTTTTCTACAGTCTCCTGTAGCTCAGTTTGTATGGAAGCAGTTTAAAACCAATGGGATTCGATATACAAGGATTACAGATTACTCAAGTAATTAACCTATGGTGGGATGCCCCTACGAATCCTCATGTTAGATATATTTTCCAAGCTGTCCCAGCGATTATATTATGGGAGCTACGGAAAAGAAGAAATGCTATTAAACATGGAGGGAAGATGTCCCATATGAAGCTTATGTATCAAGTGATGCATACTATTGTAATGTTCATGAAGGTACTAAGGAGTAACTTCAAGTATGCACCCTACGAATGGAGTGAATTGGTGCAGGTATTACAAGTTTATACTCCTAAATTAAAGGTTAGGCAGGTACTATGGAAGCCCTGAAAGAGGATGCATTAAATGCAACACAAACGGTGCCTCAAGGGGAAATCCAGGAAGAAGTTCATGGAGCTTCTGTGTTAGAAATCATAGCGGGAATATTATACATGCGCAAGCACAAGAAATGGAGGATACAAATAGTACAAACACACAAGCAGAAGCAATGCCTATTCTTCAAGCTTTGAAGTTCATCAACAACACTCAAAGTACACAGGTGATCATAGAGACAGATTCAGTACTACTTGAGAAGGTAATACACAAAACTTGGGAGGTGCCATGGCAGATAGTAAATGTGATGGAGGAAATATGGGAAATTATGAACAACTGTAACATTACAGTGACACATATCTTGAGGGAAGGAAATAAAATTGCTGATTACTTGGCAAATTTTGCTTTAGATCACGGTAAAGTTCTAATTACCTCATTCCACCAGATGGAGATAGAAGGAAGAAGGTTGATCAATAATGACAAGTTACAGATGCCCTATCTGAGGAAGAGACCATACAAATGAAGGAACTTGATGATGATAAAAGGAAAAGATATTGCAATCTCTATACTTGAATCCAATGGGTGGAGAGCATAGAGGACATTTTAACTAATTGGTTGTTTGATTTTGCAGATGCTAATAGATACAACAACACATACAGTGGGAATTCGGACATAACAAAACAGGAGAAGGTTCGACATAGCTTAAGAGAAAAGTAGAAGCATCCAATACAAAATAACACCTATGAGTTCTGCAAAGTGCATTTTCAGCTGATACTTGTTTAATGTGTAATATTAGAGTCTTCGGGTGCTCATTCTATTGATCAAAAATTAGTTGAACAAAGTATGATGCAAAAAGACACAAAGGAAAATGGATGGCGTACATCTAAAATTGAAGCTACAAGGAATGGAACAACAAATAAAAGGAAATCTAGTTTCAACTTACCAGGATGAGGTCAGAAGCATCTAAAAATTCCAACTGGTGAGTGGCATAAACAACTGGTTTTTCATGTAGAAGTTGGATTAAGCATTTCTGTAATATGATGAAGGTTGTTGCACATCAATTATAGCAACAAGATTACTGAAATGAATTCTACAAAAGTAGAATGTAGTACTTGCCTTGAACATATGAGCTCCAGTTTGTGCACCAACAGCACTGAAAGGGTCATCTAGCAGGTAGATGTCTGAATCACTATGAATAGCTCAGGTCAACTGAGTTATTTGCTTTTGTCCACCACTTACGTTCATTCCTCTTTCTCCTACCAAATTTAGATCTCCGTTACCCCACATCTCAATGTCACGTTTCAAAGCACATCATTCCAAGAGCTATGTACCAAACCAGAGCAATCACTGCAGCAACTATTCCTAGATTTCAGTGTTATGCCAGATCAAGAATCAACATTTCAAATTCAGCAATCTGTTGAAAGCTGCAGGCACACAAGAACAGAAACTTGTTACTTGATAAATAAATCATCAAATTAGTTCCCATGAAATGTTCAGCCGGCCTTCATTTTCTTCATGAACAATTCAATCTTATCGGCAGCCTCATACATATTCTTTTGTTTAATTTCCTGCAGCAGAACACTGCATGTCTTGTATCGAGGAGTAATCTCTTGGCGGACCATATCCTCAAAAATAAGATACGCCCATTCACATTTATTTGCTCTGCATAAACCATGGATAAGAAGTGCATAACTTGATAGGTCAAGACTTAGATGATGCTTATTGACAATGTCATTCAACAATTTTATCAGGAATTCATCCGCCTTTCCAACTTTAAAGGACAACTTGAGCAGCGGAAAGTATGTCTGTACATCAGGTTTACAAAATGGTGAACTTTCCAGATCCCTTAAAAATTCTTCCGCTCTTTCCTCTTGCAAATGATGGCAAAACATGGCAATGATAGTATTGTAAGTCGATGTATTGGGTTGAACACCATTTCTGGGCATTTCAACCTTCAAAACACGAGTAGCTTCTTGTAATCGGTGTGCCATGCCTAATGTATGAATCAGAGCATTGTAAAAAAGTGTATCAGGTTTACAGCCAACTGATTTCATCCTCTCAGCAATCTTAAGGGCTTCCTCAAATGCCCCTGATTTTGTCAAGAAACACATGATGGTGGTGAAAGTAACAACATTTGGTACACATCCTTCTCCTTGCATTTCATTAAGTAGCTCATAGACCTTCTGGAAGTTAAATTGCTGGCAGTAAGACTTGATGATGGTTGAGTAGCTGATGACGCAAGGACAACAACCGCTGCCTTTCATCTCCTGAATTGTCCAGTACGCTTCTTCTACCCGATTAACTTTGCACCAACCATGAACAAAAATGTTAAACGTGTTCGCATTTGGTGGGATATGCAACTTGAGCTCGTAGAAGATTTCACGCGCCTGTTGGACTCTATTTTCTTTGCACAGAGTGTCAAGTAACAAATTCATTGACTCTGTATTCTTCTCCAAACCGAATTTTCCCAACTCATCAAATATCCTCACTGCTTCTTTCCACTCTCGTGCACCTGCAAACCTTCTCATAACTTTTGCTATTGTATTAAGAGAAATAAGGTGGTCTGCATGCATTTCGTCTAACAATGAACGCATCTTTTCCATTTTCTTCATTTTCCCGAGTATATCCACCAACTTATCGTACAATTCTGGTGAGGGCTTGTAGTTGGGACGTGATTGTGCCCATCTAAAAGCACCAAGCGCAGACTTCCAATCATCTTTGAAGCGATAAAGAACCCTATTAACAAAGTTGTCACTGATCTGTATGGAATCACAAGCCGGGTCAGAAAGTAATGATTGGAGAACCTCATCTTCACTAGTTCCATGACTTATTCTAGCAAGTACAATATTAACATCAACATCACTTCCCAAGTTCACACATTTCTGCTGCTCACCAGGAATTCTATCGCCAACAAACTGGGTACTTTCAAGACAAAAATCACTAGACAAGGTGGAAAAGTAGCTAAAGCAACTTGTACGAGCTACATTGGAACTGTTCCAAACCCGAAATGGGTGAAAAACCGAAAAGTGTGTAGAGGTTAGTTTTCTAATATTGAAGTTCATGAGATTAGTATCAGTACCACACAATACAATACAAACACGGCAGGTCAGTATTTATCGTTCCTGCATTTACACATTGTAAAGAAAATCAGCAACTTAACAGTTATACTAATGCAATGGAGATAAAATTATTAGAACTTAGAAGAAAATAAACATATTTTAGCATCATTTCTTTCCAAATTTAAGACCTAATTCAATCGAACTGGATTTTCCGTAAAATTTCAGCATATGCATTAGAATGAATTTGTCAGCAGTTCCTTTAATACTTTACCGATGTGTCAAGTCTTGAAATTAGAAATCCAGAGAGGATAATTACATTGATTTGCTGTTTCTCGAATCAAAACAAACTAAACCTAATTAAGAAGTGATAAAAAACAAAACGGAGAATATTTTCCGGCGAATTACCTGTGGTTCCAATCCTTGTCGCCGGATGTTTAGCAACTTTGCACCGGTAGTAGTTTTTGGCAGGTATTACTACTGCTGGCGGCTAACCGGATCTTCTCGGCCCCTTTTCTTCATTTTCCTCTCTTCTTTGAACAGCCCAAATTTCATACGGCCCATTTACGTTTACCTTAGATAATTTGCATAAATGTTCGTGTTTTGAGTAGTCTTTAATTTTTGTCCTTAAAATTGATGATTTTTAGTTTTCATTCTTCAAAGTTTCGACAAAGAAAAAGAAATTCGCAAAAATAAAATTCGCAAGACATAAGTTTAGTTAAAGTATTGCCTCAGACATGAGTTCAATGGCACAAGTTATGCCCCACAATATAAGTTTTGTGGTACCAGTTATACCCAAGGTATGGTTGCAATGACACGAGTTATGTTCTAAGGCACAAATGCAATGACACAAATTATGTCAGAAGACAAAAGAAATTAAGCTCTGGGCACAAGTTATATCCAAAGACATAAATTTAGTGGCATAAGTTATGCAATAGAGCATAATTTAAGTGACACAAGTTATGTCACAGCGGCAAAAGTAAGTTTAATGATACAAATTATGCCTCAAGACATAAGTTCAGTAGCACAAGTTACGCAACATGATATAAGTTCAGTGTCAAAAGTTATGCTCCAAGATAAAAAAAATTCTAAAAATCTTACCCTTTGAATCAAATACTAACTTATGCTATAATGCAAACATTCTCTTGCGATATTAGTTTTGTCGAATAAAATTCGGCTATAATTAAAGATATTTTGATCCATAAAATTTCATTAAATGAGTAGTAAGAGAAAAAAATAATTTAAAATTAATAATTTTATGGATAAAAATTAAAGATCACCTCTAGAATTGGGACAATTCGTGCAAAAACTTGTAGCCTTTAAGCAAGCAGTGTCATGTCATTTAAGTTTTATCCACTATTTTAAACTATTTTATTTGTGTTCAATCTATATATTATAATAAAGCTGAATATGAAAACGGTGATGTGGCGCTCTCTAAGGGCTTCATTCTTATTTATCTTTTTTTTTTGGATTTTATTGGCATTTTTCTCTTATTTCTTTCAATTATTTTATTTTCTTACCTCTTCAATTACATAAATATTACTCTTAATAAATATTAATAAATTTCATAACTCCTAACCTTTCATATTCATAACCCTCAAATAATTTAATATACAAATTTATGACATCCCAAAATCACACTTATAAAAATCTATTTTGAGACATATGTGATGATTATATTTTTTACATTTTTCCTTATTCTTCATCTTTTATCTCTTTTATTGGTTAATTTTGTCTTGTTTGATCTGATTTTGCAGGATGAAGATTGTTAGATATTTCTGTGCAATTCAATTTTACAAGGTAAACTATTTGATATGCCTAATATGGTTATCACTTTTTCTCTGTTGCAATTATACATTCAATATTATTATTTTTGAATTCATGATATTATGAATCACAATTTTTTTTTAGAAAAAACTGTTTGATTTTTTCTCTTTGCTTCTCTTTGTAGTTTATAGAGATTTTAATTTCTTCTTTTTGTAGTTTTTGGAGCATTATGTAATGTTGATAACAAGTTCCTCCCTTTATCTTTAACTCATAATTAAATATTCTTTAAAGTTTTTATTTGATTAGTTAACTTCATTTTTATATTTTTGTCGTTATTGTTGTTGTTGTTGTATATGATTAACTTATTATGTTTTCATGTCAGGATAATTTTGAAAATAGAAGCTGAAAAGAAAGTCAACACACACATGTATGCTACTCAATAAAGCATGTATATATAATTTTGTAGTCATGTAAATCAACTTTTAAT